CTTCAGAATCACAATACTCTCAAACTTTACTTCCAAAATATTAGAGACATGAATCGAGATTTAATTTTATAAAAGGAATTTTTTTCAAAATTAAACAATAAATTTGTGCATCTGATTTCATAATACAGATTATTTCAAATGTCTGTTTTCTCTTACACCAAAATCTTTGGGCATCCCTTTTTTTGTGCAGCTAACGTAACTTCCTCATTATACAGTACCTAACCAAATATGGTAAGTGCGAAAGATGTGTTAATCCTGTATACTAGTAGATTTGCGTTCAGGAAACTAGTGTTAGTTACCCACCACCACAAGTCACTCGATTACGTCACAAATTAACAGATTTTCTAAATTTAGATATCCGTTTTCAACGATAGAGATATAATGTTCATTCATCTTATCATTTTATTAAACTATTTTTGCTCATTGAAACGTTATGGGTCTCTTTCCCATGCAGGAAACTGAAACAATTTAATTAGATAAGTACTTAATGCGAATGCGAATTCGAGTTACTTACCAAAATAAACTGATTGTTAAGTTTCACAAGAATACAGACATGTTAGTGGAATTGTGTTTTACACCTGAACCTGTTTTCTCATTTAAAAAAAAAATCAATTATTGTCGCATTAATAAAAGCGAATTGTGTGCGGCAGTCAGAAAACAGTCATGCATTAGCTCAGAGATACCATGGTACAATCAAGGCTTCATTTAAAAAATAAAATTATTCATGCGTTTGTAAAATCGAATCTATCAATTTGTTTTCCTCAAAACGAGCTTTTATTGTGGTTTGAGATGTGATTACTTCATTCGTATGATAATGTATCAAACAAGTGTTCAGACACAGTGCTTATAAATATATTTTATATTCTTGGTCGTGAATCACGTGGGTAATTTTGATTTGTTTGATTAAAAATTTCTATATGCTCATATTTCCTATAGACCAAGCTTATACACACCTCTAAGTAGCATAGCGAATCCATAATCTGACTTGAACCAGATGGGTCAAATTTGCAATAAATGACTAAACGTTTCATTACGTAATTTTGTTTTTGAGATTCACTTGTCCGTGGAACGCTTATGACGTGTATGCGTACCCACAGTAAATCTCGCTATTTGCGGCCTCGCGCTGTTTCCTGGGGTATCGATTACAAAAATAGGCATTTGAAAAAATTTAAATTCAACTTAAGCGAGAATAAGGTGGTCACGGGGGCAAGGATTTTTTCGTTTGAAAACATGTTTAAATACGCCGACACGCGGCGTACCAACGGTCATTAAGTAGTGATGAATTATGGTGAAGTCTTCACTTGTTTGAAGCGGAAATGAAATAACTTCAACAGCTAGCATTGTTTGATATGAACGCTTCGCATTTGCTCAACGGAATTTCATCGTTTGCAGTCAGTGAGGAAGTTTCTATCAATAAATTAAAGAATGCTTGATACTAAAATAACGGTTCCCGTTGGTTGTCGCATTCTCGTTTTTAATCGTGTCCCGTCGAACATCGAACATGGATTAATTTAAAATTAAATTATGAAAAGCCAGTAGTCAAGGGAAATTTTACATCTTTCCTTAGAATCTCAGGATGGTTTTGTAGTCTTATTTCGCAGCATACTATTTTATAATTATTCTTAACACCAATCCTATCGATAAATTTAGGTATATACAATTGTATGGGCAATTACAAAAAGGTTCATTTCACTTCTATGCTAAATTCCGTACCATTTTTAACTCATTCAAACTAAATTCCGAACGTGTTTCTAATAACGACAAACTTGATACCCCTTACTGTAATTTGTGCAGCAGGTGTGAGGCGGTCGGGTCAGTCGAGTTCGTTTGCAGACTGTTGGGACATTTTCCTCTCAGGCATGATCTTAAGTTGAATGAATGAAGAACTGTTATTACCGTTGCGTATCAGGCGAAATTGAATTTCAAATTGAAATTTGAAATATATCTGCGTTTAATGGGTAGCTGAATTGATATCTCAATTTGGCCTCCATGAGTTGGTTGTACCGGTAGCTACTATAAAATGGATTTTGTTCGAGTGACAGCAAAAGACGGCAAATGCTATGATAGAATACCAGCAACTTTCAAACAACCAAAAAATATAAGAATAAATATTGGTGTTGTAAAGGTATATTTGAGTATACTGATCGGGCGAAATCAAGACAATTTAAGAATATAGTTCCCCTGATGGAAGCAATTCTGCACAATAGACACCGATAGTGGCGACATAAGTGATACGAGAATAATAACCACTTTGAAGTGTGTTTGGACACGAGCACAAATGCCTATTGCAATGCGCTAACTAGATTTGCATCTCAGATCAGAAATCTTGGATTTGAGAGCAGCGTTTTAAAAACAAAAAAAATTTGTTAACTCTGAGACATTTCCAGAATATTTAGAATATTCAAATATTTTGAACGAAAACAAAAACAAAACATATCATTTGTAGAATATGAATATCTTAAAATAGGCTAGAAAAGTTGAACGCGTAATTTCACATTGAATATTCAAAAGATTACAGGCTTAACGTTTGAGGCTGATATTGTCATCGTTGAATAGCTGACCGTTCCTTGTCTGCGAACCAATTATCATTTTGTTTGAAAAAATACGAAAATTTCAAACTGGATTATTTGCTGACCAGTCGCGTATAAGATCGGGTATCTGAAAAAGAACCGAAAAACCTTCTAGTAAATCTAGAATCGCATAGTTGTCGATAAGGTTTGAAGGTAAAAAAAAATGTGTAGAAATAACATGTCGGGCTCTACATTTGAAGGAGGCCTCTAATTATACATGGTATAAACAGTGTTTTGTAGTGTGATGGTCTATGGTAAATCATAGACAATTTGCTAAAATATCGAATATTAAAACTTGATTTTTAAAGATAGAGAATCTTCGATTATTGATAATTTCAAAATGGGCGCAAGGTTTAATTCAATCGAGTCAAATTTGATTCAATGAATTCGTCTTTAATTGCGTGTAACGACATCTCACCTGCCACGCGACTAATTTCAGGTGACCCTCTGAGACGCGATATTTGCGTATCGACCGATCATACTGCGAGCTAAACGTCGTTGAATGTGCTAATTAGGCATCGATTTTAAATTATGATCGTTCAATGAAAACATTGCCTTTATAACAAGGTGTTTTCACCTCACACCGTCATATTCGTTGGAAGTTAGTGATAGGAGCGAATAAATCTTTTGTGAGGACGTATGATAGAGAGATATGACAATGTATATGAAAGGGTATTATAGATACTTGGTGCGGCTTTGAGTGGACGCAGTTCCATAATCCTCTTCGGTCACCCTTAGCGTCACTTATAATAAGCTATTTGTGTAATAAAAAAGAAAAAATGAAAAGGTAATTAATATGTAGAGGGTTATATCTAAACGCGTTCATATAAATTAAGATGTGTTCGATCATGTATGAGTCTTATTTAGAAGTGAGATATTACCAACGGCCACGGTTTAACTCGCAAGTTTTTCAATCTAACTAATTTTGTGTCAAAACTATGAGACAAGTGCACCCAAGTGTGTAAGTGCACACTTCAAAAAATTCGAGATTGCGTGTTTTGTGCGTTTAGACGCTGACTTTCACGTGTGCTACAGTAAACAGGGTCATTTTGTCAGGTGCGGACATTTTCAGAAAATCATTGGATAGAAAGAACCGAATAAGGTATAGATAGATAGTGGGGTCTGTTCTGAAGTTGAATATTATGAATGCAAATAAAATTAAAATCATAATTAAATATTTCAGGTTAGGTGTATTTGAAAAATTGGGTTGAGGTCATGTGCGCAAAAGATTATTTCCCATATCATCGTCTTTTTTATACTTACCTGTAGCAGATTTTTTATCTCAAGCCAAAAGTATATACAATATTATAAAAACATATCTTCTGTTTGATAAATAGCGGAATGGTTTCCAAATTCTTTGAATCAATTAGTTCTACTTGTGTGGCATCGTTTATCTCTATAAAAGGAATTCGCAAATTTGAAGTCTTATCATAATTGTTTCGGGGTTGACCACCCAGATGTCAAATTCATATTTATTTCAAAAGTAGAGCAAAATTATATTTCGAAAATCTGTCAGAATTTTCTCGTGCCGAAGTTAGGCAATGGATAGATGGTAAAAGAATTTTTGACTTAAAATGGTTTGCATAATTTACTATCATCGTTGAAAACTGTTCAGCGATATTGTAGTAATAATAGCGCTACTTTAGCCTAACTTAGCTATGACATTCAGATGAGTTCAATAAAGTATCAACATCTGCACGTTTTTGATGTAATATCTCCAATGTTTTGACTTTTCCACAAGTGCAATCGCAGACGATAGATTTGCTTTTTCGCATTGGCCGTATACATTAGTTAATGCTGGCTCATGTTAATATCATGTTTATAAATAAGTTCTAGACAGTCAGAAAATATAATTTGTATCTATAGACAGTTGTAGAACTTGTAGTCAATAATGCTTGTTGTTTTTAAGTGATTCTGTTTTGATTTTAGTAGTTGCTTAATAACTATTACAGTGTAAAAATTAATATTCACACATTTTTAGTATGCGTGATTGATCATGTAATTTTGATAGAGTTTTTTATACTTGTTTTGAGTATTTATATATAATATACTTTATATGTGAATTTGTGATTTTTATTGTGATCGATTTTTATGTTTGGTTGGTTGTTGTTAATGTTTTGCAGCTGGACGTAATTGATATAAGTGGTACTCGATTACTGTTTATCATCGAGGTTGTGTCTAGTTAGGAAAGATGGCCACATTTAAAACTGACGTAATTTTGTTTTTTCATATGAAGTCATTATGGGATGCATGAAACTGGGTATATTAGAATTTGAGTAACTATGAATTTATGGTAAATTGCTATTTGTTCACGAATTACCGTATTTACCCTAAAAATAAAATTCCACAACAAATATTATGAGATATATACAAACCCTATTAGTTCGAAGAACAAATTTGCTAATATTTTTCCATTTTTAAATTTTTCAGGAAAAAAGTTTAATACTTTACCGAGACTTTGGTTTTCATCATCAAATATCAAGTACAATTTGTTTTCAATCGAAGAATCAAACGACAGCTTTGGATTTTCTTCGTCAAACTCACCAGCATCTTGTATTACCGGGAAAGACTTTTCGGCCATCTTGGAATCTCCTGAAGTCATGACGCAATCGGAAACACCTGCTACGTTGTCGCCAGAGACGCAAAATAAAGTGAAGAAAAAGCGATCATATATCGCAAAAGTATTTCGCGGTCGCCGGAAATCGAAAGAGCGAAAAGAAGAAAAGAGACGACTGGCGTTATCTCCCAGCGGAAGCGACGGTGCTGAGCGTAATAGTTCGAACGATCGTGGCAACAACAACAAATCGAAAATCAGGAAAGACAATAAGAAAACGCTACCAAATAATGAGGCAGATAAAAGTAGCTGCGACGAAAACAAAAAATCGCCTGAAGACGCAAAAAAGAAGCACGGACTTTTTAAAAGCTGGGGAAAAAAGAAGAAACCTGACATCAACATAGTATCTGTGGAACTCAGTTTACCAACTGCTGAGTCACCGCCCGATATCATCAGCCATGCTGCCCGGCATAGCTCAGTAACTCCTAGAACCGCAGATCGGGATAAGAAACAAACACCCCCCAAACACAGGAATGACAACAATAACAACAGCAGCACAAATTTAAACGCCACTAAAATTGCGTCACCGAAGAGAATTGTTCCTAACGGGTTAACAACTACATCTCGTCATGCCACAAAAGATGGGTTCACAAACGGTGGAAAAAATGCTGCAAAAGTTGAGCGCACTCAAAGGCCGCCAAACGCATTCCAATATGATTCTGCAACCGTAGGACGAAGACCAATTCGCAGAAAACAAAGCAGTGGAGTTGACGGCGAAGGTTACGGGAGCGGCTTTAGACGTAGCCGTAGTTTCTCTGGGAATGTTGCCGCCAACGGTAATTCCAGACCCAATGCGAAGATCACATCTTCTAAACAAAACGAAGATGGGCTAACACCTAGCAGCTACGTCAAACTGTGTCGTCAAAGTAACCACGTCATTGACTCGTACAATAAAGGCACGAGTCCTACAAAAGCTGATGCCGGGTTTCTACGATGGCACAGTGTTGGCGATATACAACGTCAAATTGCTAGAGAAAAATCATCCGATTCTAAGTCACAGAATCCAAAATGTAGTTCCAATGCTCAAAGCCGTACTGAAGCCAATCGGACGTCAAAGGGCACGAAGGGTAAAAAGTCATTAAGTCTACAGGACTTGACATTTCAAGATGTGTGCTGCGATACAGAACAGCCAGTACCTTCAGCATACGAACGCATATCACGAAGATATCCTCGATCGCCATCTGGCGGCGAAGTGACATCTTCAAACAATTATAAATCCAAACCCAGACCAATGGTTCCACCGCATCTTAGACCGATACAAAAATCAAGGCCTTCATTGGACAAAGCACTCTCTAAATCCGAAGCAAATATATGGGCGCAACGTCGAGAACCCGTCGGTGGCAATACTACCATTTTAGCATTCAAGAAAGTAAACTTGGGACAAGGTATACAGCAAAAAGAACCAACATCGCCAAAAAGACATTCAGCTGATGTTTTGGAGATGTGTTCCCTGGTTTATCCAACTTACAAATCTCCGGCTGAGACAGGCTGGAATGTGAAACATATGCGATCCGATTCGGATTACGTGACTTCAAAATCAAGCGCTCAATTTCAATATAACATGACTGGTAATGTTCTGGACAACCAAACTTCACCAGGATACCAGAACCAGCCACACATACTTTACAATCACACAAGTCCGTCAAGTAATGGGAACAGCAATACGCAGAATTCTCCCAGAAAGCTACCATTCGTTTCTAATGGAACAGACTCACTGCTTCGTAGCTCTAAATCAACCGGGGCTCTACTTGGTCAGGATGTAGACGACATTAATTGGTCAGGAACTCGAACTCCATCCGTGAAAAGGTCTGTGTACGAACAAAGAGAGCCTTTACCGGATTATTCGCAAGACGTTGAATTCTTGTTGACCAAATTGAGAAGCTCTTTGAGAGAGAAGGGACCACCTCGGCCGCCAAAAAATTGCCAAATTTATCAAAATGCCACTGAAAGAACGGACAATTCTCAAACTTTTCACTCAAGACTAAACTCTGAAATTCAATTCCGGAATGTTGCTTCTTCCCCTCATCGCGCGTTACCAACAACTTCACAAGTTGACCATCGAAGCAACGGCGTTTCCAGGAGTCGTAGTCGTGCGCGTAGTATTGCTAAAAGATTTAACTTCTCCGAATCCACAGAAAATTTGTCGTCTGCCAATCCTCCATTGTCTCTTTGCACATCTGGCAACTGGAGTACAGAACTTGATCAACGCGACACCGAAGAAATATACTGCAACATGAAACCACTGATAAAATCTAATAATCAAGCGGTTCCAAGCGATGCTCATACCGTGAAAATTCGTCATTGTCCAAATCCAGAAAACTACGCTTATATGCCAGGTCAAAACTGCGAAAATCGACCTCCACATAATGCCATACCCAACGGCCAAGTCAGGATGAGACATAAGAACTCTCCCACTCATAACAACGCTATATATTCCACTTCAAATGGACATACTCCAGTAGGTGGAACGTTCTATTACGGCAGGCGACCAGTTTCAACTTCGTACGCCGAGCAACAACTAGCTCTGAAGCAATTTCAAAACATAAATCATTCACGGCATGGTGGATCAAACTGTAGTTCGACACCCAGGAATGAAACTGGGAAACGACCTAAGATATTCTACGCTTTAGATGTTTAAGAATTATTTTGTAAATTTACATGTTTCTGTATTTTTCTTACAGTTTTATTTTTTCTATGAAATTCAACTTTATATTATTTGTCTATTCTTTTTTTTTCGTGAATTTAATCATTTTCTGAATTGAGAATTCGCTCTGTGACGCAAATTTCTCTGAAACCAAGTATCGCGAAGTTGGAATTTAGGTCATATTTTATTTTTTTAACTTTCAATCCGGTCCTAAATATTTATTCGTACAAGCCCCCGAGCAGGTCCCAAAATTGCTGTTTTTTTTAACGTTGTGTATCTTCTGCAAAATGACAACCTATAATAAATACGAAAAATATAAAAACAAAAATATTAGTGTGGGCTCACGACTATACCTAGATGGAATTCATCAGAACATTATATAGTCATGAATTGTGCAAATACGTATCTTAAATATTCTAGGGCCATTGGTTAAAACATTCCTCTGTTATTCAACTGTGTGTTATTGCAAAAACAAACTAGACAGCAACATTATCTCTATATCTAGGTTCGGTTAATCTGTCTGCATATTTTTTTAAACTCGTCCCGGTTTTATTCATCCACAGAACATTTGGCTTGATGGCCTTGTGTTATGCTATTTGTATGTTGAGGTTTTCGATAACGGATACATATGGGATTCTTCGGAAATCTTTTGATGTCTGATATTATTGTGTTTGTCAAACTTGATGTGACTACATAGTTTTATTTTTAAGATATTTTTCCCAACGTTTATCAGAAAGTTCTGGACGGTCAAAAGGGGTACAACATTAAGGCATCCATTGTGATCCGTTTTAAGCTAATCTTTTAAATGATTACCCACTGTTTGATATGCTATTTCCCGTAGTGAAGTATTTCAACATTTGTTACCTATCGTTTTCGGCCTCTTCTTCGTTTGCGCAAGTGTATAATACAGATATATTATTAGCGGGACTTTCGAATTATCCAATCCAAACTGTTTATCTTTTTTGTATATTAATTATCTTGTAAGTTGAATGAATGACCAAACACAGACAGGTGTGGTAGTTTCAATGGAATTTGCGTCAATATTTCTAACCTGAAGAAGGTTTTACAATTTACGTTTGAGCTTCTTCCATTTGCCTTTTCGTCAAATTGTATTGTGAGTCAAATGTCCCAACCGCTTCAAAGATACCGTGTTCCAAATTAGTTGCACTTGGTGTTCTATTAATACTGTTTTTATTATTTTGAGCTTGTCTGGTACAATAAAAAAGTACAAAACCACAGTAGTATTGGTTTATTGTAGCGAAGTTTGGTATGGGGATTGTTATTAATAACTTCTTCGATAACGTTCAACTGTTCATTCCGGGTTTTCCTCTTTTGTCCCTGGAAGGATATACAGGTTCAAATCGATTCGAGTTCGAGATTTCTAGTGATCGCATTTCTTTCTAATGTTAGCTAGTGGGTGGGACAAATTTTATAGAAAATCAGTGTATTTATGCAAGGGAATAAAGCGCAACAATTTTCCAATAAAGAATATTGTATGGAGATATATTTACCTCTTCAAATATCATTTTCAAAATAATTTCCAGTGAAAAGTTTGCCAATCTGATTAGAGAAAGTATACACTAGTATAATCCTGAGCAAATAGCATTGAAGAATTATTTACCCAAGCCATATGGCATGTTTTCTTGCATTAGACTTGAAATCGTATTTTCAAATTCATTTGACCGGTGAGCACAACATTCAAATTTAACTGAGAAATTTTCTCAACCTGTAGGAACAAGTCAGTGGAGAAAAGGTCGAAGCCACATATCTCTTATGCTCTAAGTTGACTAATATCAGAAATCTTCCGATCAACAAATCCTGCTAATTCGCAGGTCATCATTGTTCTGATAAAGATGGGATTTTGCTGATGATATTCCTATTCAGATCTCAGTTTGGTGGAAAAGTTAAATGGATCACACTCTTACATGCTACACTTGTACAGCAGAGGCAAGAAAATCTAGAGCCAAAGTCGCAATCCCATTTTCGGAGTAAAAGTAAAAATTTTAAACTAGCTATCGACTGAATTTCAGGCGACGCAAATAATTTCATATCTGAAAGTTAGTTTTTAATCGTATGAGCGTCGTCCCGTCGGTAAAATGACTCGAAGTCAACACTCTATCCAACAAGGCAGTGATCTATAGTTGGAGTTGATATTGTTTGAACACAGAGTTGAAATATTGTCATCGATATCCTCAGCTGAAGTCAGATTTTTTACCGGCTGTGGGTTTAGTGGAAATAGATCCGACTCAAAAGCCGTTATTACGGTAACCAAACAACAGATAAAGGGCGAAAGGCAGTACTGCACTGAAATAATTCGATTCGATGTGTATCTTGAATAGCCTAACAGAAAATGCAAATGCAACAATTACAAAATGGGCATAAACGACTCGTTGATTGTTTTTTAGTCTTTGATCTTAGTGATTTAATTATTTTAGTAGAATACCACGGACGAAACAAAAGTGATTCTTCAGCCCATTTGTTTTGTCTGATATTATGAAATAATTGAATAAAGTCGGTCGGATGCAAAACTTCATAGATTTAAGAAAACTATGTGTATGATGTAAGAGTATGTTTTGAAATTTGTTTGCTATTTAAATTTTAGTTATTACCAACAAGAACGTACGAATTAATGTCGTCAGATTATTGTCAAACTTGAAAATAACGTCAAACAGAGTCGGAGTAATTTTTCCCAGAAACTCAAAAAGTATACTTAAAGTATTTAATTTACTAACCGTTCTTGAAAGTCCAATATTAAAAATGAAGAGATTTGCATAGGACAAAATTTTATTATCTAAATTCAATTTTCTGGAATTCGAAGCTGGAGTTGGTTTAAAACTGAAAATTTCAAAATCGGAGTGACATTTTTTTCAGCCTGGAGTCGGAGTGGATTCTAAATGTTCTCCCTACTTTTCACTTTAGTATTCCACTTTTATTGCTAACCGCTAGATAGAGGCATTGAGTAACTTTTGTGGTGGTATTTTCGCTTATCCCGAAGTGTGCTCCGTAAACAATCATGTCCGTCGCTTAACTTGATGGATTACTCAAGCAGCTGTTTGAGGTCAGTGTTCCTAATTTTGATCTCTTATGACTAGTGTGATAATAGCGTGATTAATATAGAATTGTGCAGCACCGTGGTACCAATTAGAACTGCCAGACCCCGAGGACTTTGTAGGTGAGTGAACTTGTAATTTGATCAAATGAAGAACTTCCTCGCTGCGCACATTTTCATGGGAACCTATCGGACCATCGATAAGGTGAACACTTCGATCGGTTGCGCTGGAGTAGTTTATGGTACCGTAAAGGTTATCGGAATGTTATTTGACTAATCGTTGACTACCGTTAGACGCTTTAGGTTCGTGCAAATTTAAATGCAACACAGAGCAATGGTAAAAATTCCAGGTCAAATCTGACCATATAACTCTTCCGTAAAAAATTTATTGCCACGTGTATGTTTGCTCGTATAATTACCAAAATGGAACTGAATTGAACATGGCTGGAACAGGAACAATCGGTCGCTCTCATGCGAGTCCCCTGTGATGTTAAGTGAAATTCATACAAAAGAAACATCTTGTGTTAAAAAAGGAAGCAACAAACTGCCAAAAATATTATCATTGGCATGATTCGTGTTAATGATAAAGCTTATTTTGCGGGAAATCGTCGATGTGTGATGAGTGCCGTGTGTTGTTTACGTTTCTCGGCCAAATGGCGAGTAATCGCTCAACTTTCCTTGTTAAATTGGTTCAAAAAACATTAAAAAAATGATTTTGCGTATGGACTTGTACGTACTCATCGGCACCGTGATTACTGCATTAAACCTCTATTGCGTCATAAAGCATGCAGAGTTACAGTGTGTTGCGTGAAAATTTACAGTGTAAATATATTGCTTTAATGCACATACGTATACGTACACCACCCGTGGTCTTATTCAGGACCTAATTTACACCCGGTAGGGGTGGGGTGTAGGGAAATTATTTGAATGATAGCATTGCAACGTTTGTTTATTCTGGGGATTATTTTTCCAATGGTCATTAAAACAGCAGATTCGACTGAAGAATATTTTATTGTTGTTAAAATTAGTATTGAAAAGCACCATACGGAGAAAAACGAAAGTCAAATTACCGTGAAAATTATTTTGCCCGCACTCGACACTGCGTTAACTTTTACGTATTCAAGTTTCCGTCTTAAAATTAACGAAATGGTGTTTTTCTTCAATTATTCATCAGCAGGAAATTTTCTGTTTTTCGGAGCGCGCAATTCGTCATAATTTTGCCGTTTTTTCCCGTTTTGTCCATTCGGGCAGTTCATCCCATAAAAAATTCATGCGCAATATTTGGACTCTACCAGCGTCGATACTTGATAAGCGAATGTTTCCAGTTCGTTATTATAAGGTCAACCGGTGTCATTTGTCTTTAGTGTTAATATTGATCAGTGACTCATTAGTTGTCCCCTTCATCGATATTTTTAATGAAAGAGATTGCATGCAATTTTGAATCTTTTTTACTTGGTAAGTTTATCTTCAAATCATGCTTTTCTTAATATCTTAATTATCAGGTGGAATGGATTAGTACAAATGGTATAAGGGCGTCGCTTACTCTAATATTATAGAATATAGATGTATTTGGGTATGATTTTAATACGAGCATGAGCTGACGAATTGGGATTATGATCATGAAAAATAACGAAGGCATGACCAATCGCGTGTCATATTTTTTGACGCGACGTGTTACTTACCTCGGATGCGCTGATATTTTAATATACTTCATGGAGAATAGTGCTATCTTTATCATTAAAAAGTCGATGTGCGTGTATGAGTTTAACTAACCAATTTCCCAAACAGGCCTCTAACCTAAAAATTCGAAGTCGCCGATATTCGGTATGTGAATGCCTCATTGTGCTGTACCCTTGTGCCTTTCTGCAAACCAGAAGATATGGGATAAAGCGACGCAATATTTATCTATTTATTGCTTTCTTCATGATATACGGCGCCCACTTTCCAGTAGAAAATGGAAAGATAAGTTTTGCCATTGCGGTACCAACTGAAATTTATTCATCACTTTCGTACGCGTTTTATCATGATTTAGTCATATCAAATTCTCTCAGAGTTATGTAACTAAAACAAACGGGATTTCGTGTTTCCATTGTAATTATCTGTGGTTACTAACAGCTTGATAAATATTGTCTTGGTCAAATATTATTAGTCATTTTGTAATGCATTGACTGGTGATTAATTTTTAATATGTTATGTACTCGGCCCAGTACTGAAGTGCACATTATTTCAGCGGCCTCTATGTAAAGTGGTTCAAATTTTATGGATTTTGCCAGACCCCAAATAGTCTTCAATTTGCTCCAAATCGGCGCGTAATGATTACACATTAATTATCCTATAGCTATAGCATTTATATTCCGATCAGAGTATTTTCTTTATCGCATGGTAAAGGGGTATTCAGTATTTGTAGAAAAGGACCTTGTTTTGCATTTGGACGAATGGTTTGATAAGTAAGAGTTAAGACTAACTGCCATGCGGCAGAAATTGGATCGACTCTCAGTTGTTGATGCTGTTCAACTCGCGTCCCGTGAACAATCGATGGACGACTCTCTATTTTACACAATCTATAAAGTACAATTTTACTAGATATAAGTGGATTCGCGTCTTCCAACTCATGTAATAAAATAAAAGGGTATGATTCTTGCGAATATTACGATTTATAAAAACTCGTTTGTCAATTAAAAATGAAGCTATATTTAACCTTTTACTTTTAAATTACGCATTCATCGAGTGAATCATCATCAGTATTCCCCAAATACCGCCATGTTATTTCGTGTACATGTATAATATGCTTAATCAAATATTCAAAAATAAATTGCGAAATATATTTTCCGAGATAGAAGGTTTCAAAGTTCAATTTGACAATGATTATTAATTTTTTCTTTGTCTCTCGATTTATCAAACGGTTTTCGTTATCTCCGTAACACGACAATGTATTTTGGGTAAACTTTAGTATCTCACACGGCAATAAATTTCGTTCGGTAACGCCCCAACATGCACGGTCCGACATTTTAAGTTTAATTTAGCCCCGACGCTACACTCTGACAATTGTACCTCGCTTGAAAAATTGTGACAGATCAAACAAATTCAGAATTTTATTTTCGCTTGAAAATATTTGTGAGCAAAAGCGGAGCTATACAACCCTGACAAACAGATGAGGCCAACGTTCTGCGTGTTAACGATTTTGGCTAA